AAAAAAAAAAAGTGAGGATCCGGGAGTCAGACCTCCTGGGCATCCTATCTGTCTCTGAGGTTTACCAGTTGGCTGTGTGACCTTGGGCAAGTCGCTTAACCTCTCTGGGTTTCAGTTTCTCCATCTGTAAGATGGGAATTTTCTCACACTTGTCCAGAGTGATGGCAGGCTTGATGAGTTAATATATGGAAAGTGCTTAGAACAGTCACACACAGTAGCTGTTCTAGAAGGCCAGCTATCACCATCTTTTAGAGGAGACGTGGCTGCTACGATCTAGACCATTTCTTGTCTCCTGGAACAAAACTCACCGGGCCCATTGTGTGGGCTCCTCTGGGCCCCAGGAAGCTCCCCAAAAGGCACTCACCTGCCCCGGTCCCCAGCCTGGGATGTGGACTCTACTGCTCCAGTGGCATTGGTCAGCGTCGCCCCTTCTGTCTTCTTGGGCTGTTTCTCCTTCTTGGCAGTGGTATGGGGGAGGTCTGGGTTCCACTCCTGGCGGGGGCCAAGGGAGGAGTCAGGCCGGGGGCTGTGCCCTGAAGCCCCTGCGAGACTTCTCCCCTCCTCAGGCTCCCCATCCCCACCCGTCCTCACCTCAAACTGGGGCCAATTCATAGGCATGCCAGGGCCACTGGTGCTGCGGAACCATCTGAGGTCTTCCTGGGCATCAGCACCGCGGATGGCCTGCTCCAGTTCACGGTACACATGCATGTAGCTGTGCGCAGAGAGATGGGGGAGGTGGAGGGCACCAACGCACCATGGCCCCTCCTCATCCTCAGCGAGGGGCAGGAGCCTATTCTGAACCAAGGTGCTGGGCAGGCCTCCCAGTCAGGAATCAGGGGACTCTGCAAGGAGCAGCTCCAGGCATGCCCGGGGGCTTCCTTCTCCATTCTCCCCTTAGCCACCCACCTATCCAGCCAAGCCTATTTCTGGAGTACCTAGCAAGCGTCAGCTTGCACCAAGTCGCCCCTGTGTTTGAAGCCCCTTCCCTTTTAACCCCTGCAGCTCTGTCCTCTCCTTCCCATGGCTGTGGTGTAAGGTCCGGGGTGCCCTGCACACCAGCCACACCCTCAGCTGGCTGTGGCTGTGCCCTCCATGCCTGCCACACCCAGGTACCTGCTGTTCTCTGCGAGGTTGAGGTGCCGTTTGATGTCCAGCAGCACCTCCTTGAGGAAGACCAGCCGCTTTTCCTCAAATTGCTGGCACTGTTCAAACACCTGTTCCATGCCCTCCATGTACTGGGGTGTGGTCTTGCCCACATCTTCCAGCACCTTCTCGTACTTCTCCTGTGTCTGTGGGCACCAGGGCGGAGGGTGAGACGCAACCAGCCCTGCAGCTCCCAGCCACTGCCCACTCCGAAGGGCCCTCAGATCCCTCTTGGCCACCCCATCCTGGCCAGCACCTTTTGCACATCCTGCTTGCACTTGTCCACTTTGTCCTGAAGCTTCTTCTGCTGCTCGGCTGTGACTGACTGCTCCGTCTTGCTGTTCATTTCCCGTGTCATGGCCAGCTTCTCCTCTTTGCAGGCCAAATGGTAGGCCTTCTTGGCTGCCTCCAGCTGTGGGGAGGGGGGAACAGGGGCAGGGCTCCACTGGTGAGCAGGAACCAGATTGGTGGCTCATCAGCTCCTCCCTGCCCACTCCCTGAAGCTGTAAACACACACTCTTAAGAGCCAGAAGGGGTCGGGTGTGGTGGCTCATGCCTGTAATCCCAGCACTTTGGAATGCTAAGGTGGGAGGATCTCTTGAGCCCAGGAGTTCAATACCAGCCTGGTCAACATAGCAAAACCCTGAATCTACAAAAACTCAAAAAAATTAGCTGGGTGTGGTGGTGTGCACCTGTAGTCCCAGCTTCTCAGAAGGCTGAGGCGAAAGATCACCTGAGCCTTGAAAGTCAGGACTGCGGTGAGCCATGATCGTGCCACTGCGCTCCAGCCTGGGTGAAAGAGTGAGACCTTAACTCAAAAAAAGAAAGGGCAGAAGAGATGCAGGCACTGGCTGCAGGTGTTTGGGAGCAGTGCCCCTCCATCTGTGTCCCTGCATGCCACTGCCATTCCCCTGCCTATTCCCCTCCTGTCAGGCAGTGCAGTGCCCACACCTTCTGTGGACCCTGAAGGCCATGTACTCTCTAGTCCCTGCTGGTATCTTTCTTGGGACAGTGCCCCTTTCTGCCCATGGATCTATTTATCCAATGGGCACTGTCTACCCATCTGTGATTGCTTCCCAGAGGGCAGTGTGCTGCCCGCCCCACCCACAGGCAGCCTCCCTGGGATCAGCATCCTCTAATGGGACTGGCCCTCTGAGCTTGGCCGCCAGCCCCTGCCCCGTCTGGGCAGTGCCCCCGGCACCTCCTTCATCTTCTTGGCCCAGGGCTTCTGGGCCTTGCGGAAGCCATCCTCAGCCTCCTTGGTCTCCTTGAAGCCGCCCATGATCTGCTTGTGATAGGCGTCCTTCTGCCAGTTCTTGACCTTCTCCAGGTCCTCGTTCAGCAGGCTGTTCTTCACCTCCTGGTGCAGTTCGCTCACCTTGTCCGCCTCAGTCATTATGGCACCCCAGGCCCGCTCCAGGCTGCCATACTGTGGGCCTGAGGGAATGGCAGGGGTCACGGGACTCGTGTCATCCCTGCCCCGAGGCCCCCCTCGCACCTCTGCTTCTGAGGCTTTCCTCTTCCTTGCCACAGCAACAGAAACACCCTCCTCCACTCTCCCTATGCCTCCATGCATCCTCTAGGGCCCATGTCCAGCCTCCATCTCCAGGAAGCCTTCTCTCACTGCTCTGCCCTCACTGCAATCTTCTGGCAGCATCTGCCCCTGCACCCCCTCCTTGGCGCTCCTGTCAACTTGTGAGTCGCCCCCCACCCTCTGTGAGTGCACAAGCCCAACACAGCGCCAGGCACACAGCAGGCACTCCAGGAATGTGAGCTAGGGTAAAACGAAAGAACCAGCTGGTGACAGATGCCAGGAAGCCACTGGGGGTCAGCCGTTTGTTGCCTGTGTACTGGCACCGCCTATGTGCCAGGCAACATGCTAGGGGGTATAGGGTGTTAGAGTCTCATGTGAGAGAAAAACATTAACAAATATATTAAACCCCAACCTGAAACTGCTCTAGATTAAAGGAATTTAGACACAACTAGACGCAGTAGTTGACTCTGGATTGGATCCTGGACTAGCACGAACAATTGATATCGTGAAACGTGCTCCTGGGTTGGGTTTGATAGTTGAACTTTGGTTACCTAAGCACATCTTCTTGCTCTTAGGTGATACCTGAAGACCTGAGGGGTGAAGAGGGTTGCTGGCTCCAACCTACTCTCAAATGGCTCAAAGAAAAACAGGTATACCCATAAAGAGGAAGTGAGAAAGCCTGGTGCAGGGGAATCTGCAGGAAAGGTCTGTGGGAACTCTATGGGCTACTGCTGCAACTTCCTTAAATAATTTCAGAAGAAAAAGATGGGTGGCTTTGGCTTTGTTTTTAGAACCCAACCCAACGTTGTACAAAGTACTGGTGAACCGGGCGGCCCGGCTGGGTCTAGCAGGAAACAGCGCCCGAAAAGTCCCCGGGGCTGGTAGCTGCGGGGTGCAGCCAAGCGGCTGGGACTCCT